ATCATTTAGAGAACTTTGTTGAGAAATTGGGAGAGTACTAAATGGTAGATAGAGTATCTGGCTCAAGTGTAAACAGACTCGGTACATCTTGGCAAGTAGAGAGGTAGAGCCAGGTAATTCTTTTAAAATCCAAAAACTTATTTTTAGAACACATGAAGAATAGTTTATGGAACTCCAGGAGACATTGAGGTGGGAGACAGTAATGATGTAGAAAAACTAACAGGTGATGGGTGTAATACATCATTAAAGGAAGCTAGAGTTATATAGAACACTCGGATCAGATTTTCCTTGTAAGCTAGATTGAACAATTAGCCATGTGACCTCAAATTGCCTACATATTTCCTGATTGTGAATTGAGGATAGTATTAGCTTTTTTGTAGTGTTATTATGAAGTGTTGAGTCCAGTCATTGTTAGGTGTTATTATCTCTACTCTTTCTAGGGTAACATTATGAAAAGCAATGAGTTCCCATAGAGATGGTATTAAAACCTGCTGATCATTAACTTGCTGACCTAAGAATTTCTTTGTCCTTACATTCCAAAAAGTATATGACTACACATAAATTAGAAATTTTCTTGGGCTGATTTGAGTTGTCTGATTAAATAATTGCATTTAGGATGTGGCATAATTACATTTTAATAATTGCATTTACTATAATAAAGACATTTACTTTGTGGTAGGAATTGTATTAAGTGCCTCAGTTACTTAAAATGCATTAACTTGGTATCCTCACAGCAAACCTCCAAGGTAGGAGCCATAACTATTCACATTTTAAATGTTCTTGAAGGCCACAAAGCAAGTAAAAAAAGAAGCTTCGATTTGAGCCCTCTCATAGCAGTTTTTGTGCTTTTCGCCTGTTGTTCTCTTAACAGAGGTAGAACTGCCATATAAAATGCTTGTGGTTTTCTACCCTCATAGGTGTAGATTTGGAAAATGGTACTTGTGTTCATCCTTTAATTCCTGATAAAGCGTCTCCTCTCTTACCTGCAAATCATGTGACCATGACAAAGGAACAGGATTGGTTCACACAGCCCCAGCTCATGGTATGGAAGATTACAGTGTAGCTGCTCAGCACGGCTTGTCCACGGTAGTAATCCTCCTCCTTTCCAATCACTGCTTTTTTTTTTTTTTTTTTTAAAGATTTGTTTATTTATTTATTTATACAAGCACTGGGGTACAGTCAGAAGCGCGGGAGGGTGAGAGAATTCACCAGAGCGGGGAGCAGAGCAGGCAGAAGGACCGAAGTACATTGCTGAGGGGAGCAGCGGGCGGCCGGAGAGGTCTGCGCGCCATGTGGGACTCTCACCTGGTGGCCGGGGATCAACCCGGGCTGCAGAGACTGCGGGCAGCATTGCAACCCAGCGCTCAACCGTGAGCCACCAGGGAGGCCCTCCAATCACTGCTTTTGTTGAATGAAAATGATAAATACTAACATCTTTACTTTTCAGTTAGAAACAATCATTTTTGTCATGTTAATTTAAATGGTGAAATATTTGGGGTTTTTCCAGTGCCTCAAAGCCTCATTAATTCATGCTGATTGAGAAAGATTTCCTAGAATTGGCACAGAATCAATACACAGTTAGAATTGAAGAATATATATCAAATGGGGGCAATTTTTTCTTTCAATTATTCAGTAACATGAAGAAGTTAATTTTAATGTCTGAAAAATGGCTAGTGAACTTAATATTTGAAAATAACATTTTTATAACTTCTTTCTAAAATCTGTTTTACACATATCAATTACTTAGTGAATTTTTCCACTGATAGGGAAGTCTCAAAATCATTATAATGTATGGAATTATTGTAATGTATAACAAAATCGTTGCCATTGATCTGGAAATTAGTAGTGACCAAGTAAAAGATGTTTTAGTATATGTTATTTTTGTTTTTAAACTTCAGGTGTATGCTTTTTAAATAAGATATTTTGCCTTCAATAATTTATGTGTATATTCACAAATTCTTATCTGAGTAATACTCAAATTTTCAATGTAGTGAAAAACTGTACTGAGATGTATTATGTATATTATTTTGCCGGATAATGTGATAAGATAAAATGTCTTGATTCTTAATTGTTTGAAATGACACTTTGTTAGGATTGTTTAGTGGATGAAGATGGCGTTTTCACAGATGCTGCAGGTCCTAAACTTCAACACAAAGCTGTCCTTGAAGAGGGAACAGATGTGGGTAAGTATTGTCTATGCTCTGTTGTGTGTGTTTTCTGAAAGGCAGCAGCAGTACCTTGTGCTGGCTCTTCTCTCATACTTTTATAGCTTAAAATAGAGTTTGAGACAGTTTTCATTTTTTTGCTTTCAAGTTGTTCCATTTGTTTGAGCTAATCGGGGCATGATTTAGTACGACAGAGATAATATTCAGCAGTAAAATGAGATCAGGCCTTGAGACTACATGCCAGCCACCTATCAGTGCTCACTATTCCTTCTCTGACAGTTGTAAATTGCTGACTCTGTAGCAAGGCCTATGTGTTACTTTCTTGGGTGTCCTTGAAGTCTGGACTCTTCTATCTGCCTAATTATGGACCTAGCAACCCATACCTTTTCTGCCCAAACTAAGGCTAATTAGACCTGGGTATTATTTTCCTGGAATTGTAACAAATTACCTTAAGTCTAGTGGCTTAAAACAGAATTTATTCTCTCACTGTTTTGGAGGCCAGAAGTCTGAAATGAGGTGTTGGTAGTTGTACCCCCTCTGCAAGCCCTGTGGAGGATGCCAGCCTGGCCTCCTCTTAGCTGGGGGAGGCACCTGGAAATCCTGGCACTCCTCGGTATACAGCTATTGCATTCCAGACTCTGGCTCTGTTGGCACCTGAGCTGCTTTGATCTTTTGTTTCTGAGCAGCCTCTCCTTTTATTATACAGATACCAGTTACTGAACTTAGGGCCCCCCTATCCCGGGGTGGTAGCATCTAAACTTGATTATATATGCATAGCTCCTATTTCCAAATTAGGAGGCATTCACAGATATTAAGGGTATTCTGGATAAACATATATTTGGAATCTTTCAATACGTGTGTCCCATGTCTTTTTTGGGGAAAAATTTGAACCCACTATTTTTACTTTCTTCTGGATTATGGAAAACCATTTTGAGATTTATGGTATGAATAATTATGACTCTGAATTTCAGATACATTTCCTTTGAAGAGCCACGTTAATTGCGTATCTGGAGTCTGATTAAGTTTTTACGGTCTCCACTTTGTATGCCAGGAAATTCAGATTATGCTATTGATACCTGTCATCTATTGGTGCAGATTTAGTACTTCTAGAAGTGTAGAGCATTACTAGAATTTTTGTTGTCTAACTTTAAAACTATGTCTAATCTAAGATTTAATGATTTTTTTTTTTCAAGTTATAAAGATGCTTCAAGCTGCAAAGAATTTGTTGAAAGAGGAAAAGTTGGTACACAGCTATCCCTATGACTGGAGAACTAAGAAACCAGTGGTTATTCGTGCCAGCAAGCAGTGGTTTATAAATATCGCAGACGTTAAGTCTACAGCCAAGGTATAAAGGGCTTCTCCTGCAGGGGCTTATCCTTCCCTCAGTATGAAAGGGTTGAGTATGAGGTTGAGGTGGGATCTTGCTTTTACTACTATTTCATACAATGTGGATTTGGAGTCAGAGAATCTCAGATCTGGAACTACCTTAGATTTCCATTCCTTCATTATGCTAGTGGGGAAAATTGGGCTAAAGAGTCTGAGTGAATTCCTGCATGCAGTCAGTGAAAGCTTCTCCCTTTGGGACAGTGCTGAGTTTAGCAAGTATTTTAACCTCTCAGAACCTGTTTTCTATATATATAAACCTGCTTCAAGGGATGGGTGAATTAAAGCTCCCACAACAGTTTCTGGCACAAAATAGGCATTTAATAACTCTCTAAACCCTTTCCCTCCTTAAGATTGAAATTTCAGTCCCTTTGGAAAGTACTGGTATTCTGGATAAACATGTATTTGGAATCTTTCAATACATGTGTCTTATGAACAACTTGATTCTATTGCATTAAAGAGCTCAGAAGTCTATTTGTTAATCAGGCTGAATATGCAGATATTTTACAGGTTGCATCTACTATATTACTGTCATTAGTTGGCTCATTTGTTGGCCTGGGAATTTGGAGCTCTAGTTAGGTCAGTGCATAGCAATTTATATTTTGTATGTTTGTATAGAGTAGACAACTATGATTTTTTTTTCTTTCATTTTTATGTTACTGTGATGCCTGTTTTCCTTGTGCATGTTAAAATTTGTAATTTTCAGCTCTGTAGACTAATGGTTGTAGAACATCTGAGTCTCATGCAGTTTTCTGAAGCCAAGTTGGGTTTTTAGCTTCCTTATATGTACAATTTCCAACTATTACTCTTTGTGGGAATGGATAAGACAGTGTTTTCATTACCCACCTTCAATAAAAATGAACTTTTGCACCTCTTCTGCCACTCAGCCTCTTACTCCCTACCCACTGGATTATTTTGAAGCAAATTTTAGGCATTATTTGTTCCATAAATACTTCAGCATGTATATTTGAAAAATAAGGACTCTTTAAAAGTGCCATTATTGACACTTTAAAAAAGAAATAGTTATTCCTTAACAAAATCAATATCTCATCGGTATTGGCATTTCTTAGATTTTTAAACCAAGTATTAATCAAATTGAATTGTGGATGTTTCCATTCTGTCAGTAGGTGGTGCTACAGAAGACTTGGGTGGGGTGGGGTGGGCATATCTGGTAATTAGGTGGTTGGGTAAGTGAGGAGACTTTGAACACGCTCTGAAAACATTAAGGTATTTTTATTAATGAAGAGAAGAGTTTTTCAAAATACGTTTGCATAGTTTGGCCTTTTTGTGATTATTATCCAACATTTTGTTATACAGTTCAGCTTTTGATAATTGATGACAGGAATCAAATATTAGCAGTTTGCAGTTGGGAGGAAAGAAAGAAGGGAGGGTGGAGAGATCATAAATAGAAAGTGACTTATTTTGAGAGTATTTTCTATATTTTAAACCATTACAATGTAAAATTAGGTTCCATAACAGTCCTTGTTTGTCAGCCTAAAACAATAGCTTAATTTTTTTAAAAAGATTTATTTATTTATGCAAACAAGAGCTGGGGTACAGGCCAGAGATGTGGTGGGTGAGAGGATTTACCAGAGACAGAGTGGGGAACAGAACAGGCAGATTGACTGAAGTACACTCTTGAGGGGAGCAGCAGGCGAGTCAGGAGAGGTCTGCTGCGCCATGTGGGTTACTCCCTGGCTGGCTGGGGATCGAACTCGTGCTGCAGAGGCTGCAGATTGCTTCATAGTGTGGTGCTTAACCCCTTGCAGCTCTAGGGAGGCCCCAACAATAGCTGAATTTTTAAACATTTAAAGAATAGCATTGAAATCAAGTTGGAATTGAGTTTAATATAATTATAGTACTTCCACTGTTATTAACAGTTGTGCTCTAAAGTGTTTGGAAATTAGTATAAAACCTCTTTTCACATCCTCCAAAAGTGAAATCTGCTATAGATGTTATTTCTGTAGGTCCTTTGTGACCCTGTTTGAACTTTGCCTCCTTTGCTCTGAAGTCTGTTTTCTTTTGAGTTTATTTTTTTTGCACAGGGGAGATTAGGGCATGTGTCATTGACTTTCAGTATCCAAAAATAAAGAACTGTGTTAGAATAAATAGTTACAGCTTTAGAAAAAATTGTTGTGCCTTCTCTCACTAGGCTTGATTTATGAATCTATTGCAGGAATTGTTAAAAAAGGTGAAGTTTATTCCTGGATCAGCACTGAATTCCATGCTTGACATGATGGATAGGCGGCCATATTGGTGTATATCAAGGCAAAGAGTTTGGGGTGTTCCAATTCCTGTGTTTCATCATAAGACAAAAGATGACTTCTTGATTAACAGGTAGAACTTTGTGAAATTTTTTAGCATTTTTAAGTGAGTTCTTTTTTTTTTTAATGCAAAACTAGTGGGCTGTTAAACCTAAGGTGTATTTTTATTTATTTATTTAATTAATTTATGCACACAAGAACTGGGTTGTGGGTCAGAGGTACAGGGGTGAGAGGATTCACCAGAGACAAAGTGGAGAGCAGAACAGGCAGATCTACTGAAATACACTGCTGAGGGGAGCAGTGGGTGAGACAGGAGATCTACTGTGCCATGTGGGTCAGCTTCCTGGTCAGGGATCAAACTTATGCTGCAGTGGCTGCTATACCTTGATAGTGTTGAGACTTCAACCCCTGCAACACCAGGGAGACTCTTCAGGTGTATTTTAAATAAAATATTCTAAACTTATCTTTTCAGGGGAGTAAAATAGAAATTTCAGAAAGATCTTTTCAAAAGGCTGAAACTTTCACAACTGCATTTTTATTTCAATGTAGATACTTGGAAGCAAAGACTCCTTTTTTTCCTTGATGATTCATTATTTCTACTGTGTCTTCGGTGATAGATAAGGTGTCAGGAATTCTGAGGTGTCAGTGGAGGAACCTGGTATATAATTTTTCCTTTGGAATTACTCTCTTCCTCTGAGTTTACTCTTTTCAGTAAAAATGGCAAAGGTAAATTAGATCCTTTGAAATGTAAGGAAGTATGATATTATATTTTCTCTGATGATGATTATACTTCATTTTTCCTGGGGTGTTTTTTTGGTATGACAATTTATTCAGAGTAGAAAAACTTATATTTGTAAAAGACCTTTTTCTAATCCAGACACTATTGAGCCAGTGACCAAATCTGACCCAGTGCCTGACATTAATGAGATGATCATCTCACTGGTAAATGTCTCCAGTAAATGAGGGAGACTCAGTAACTGATGTGGAAAGAAAGGGGAATGCGAGTCTTCCCTTCTAGGAATACAGCCCAGGTTTTCATTCTCTTTGGGTAATTTTGTTTTCATTTGATTAGAGGATTTTCTGCTAATTTATGCTGTAACATGAGGAAAGAGTTCAAGCACATTTTGGTGTTTTCGCATTTCATCAGCTGAGGCTTCCGAGATTTTTGAAGGCATGGAGACCAGCAAATCATGGGGAATTCAAAAGACTGTGTGTATCCTTACCTTGGAGCTCATTATTATTTTGGTAAAAGCTTCTGTTTCTCAGTGTTGACATGATCAATATTTTTCAGATGCTGTTTTTGGTAAATGGTTGTGTTTCAGGGGGTTTTATGTTGATTAAGTAGGGTTTTTTGTGTGTGTGTGTGTGATTACCTCTAGTCACACCATAAGGTATCCTTTGAGGTTTCTTCTCAGTTTGAAATACACCTTATGGCACTCCCTCATGGGAAATCTGACACCTTAGGGCGGCTTGGCTCAGAGGGCAGCACTAAAGCTCTGCCTGAGGCTGACATTGAACCAAGAAGCCTCTCCTGAGCTCCAGTTACAGAGGATGTGGCACAGGAGATTAGGCAGGAAATTTTAGAAAGTACCTAGCCAGTAGAGGGTTCAGCTGGAGCTGAGGCCTGGCGGGAAAGCCTCACCTGTGTGCAGTAAGCTGTGTGAGGAGAACAGGAAGGTAACCACTGAGCAAGGTTGGTTGGGGGAATTGTGAGTCTTGAATACTCGATTGAGGAGTATTAAGTAGTGCTGTTAAGTAGGCATGAGGAGTAAGAGTATGTTTTAGGAAAAGAAACTAGAGGCTAGAGACCAGAAAGTCATTGTGAGGCTGTTTCACTCTAAGAGTTTGGAGCTGAGACTCTTGGGCCCAAATATTGTTGTTCATGTTCTTATAATCTGTAAACTCCTACTCTTCTAAGACCTCTATTAAGAATTAAAGCTGAGATCAATTTACACAGTATTATTTAAAATTCTACACTTGAGAATTTTCTTTTAAGAAATGTTCTTAAGCCAATGCCATTGCTTCCCATTCTTTTCAGTATTTAGAGAACAAGATTTTTAGGGAATCTTCTTGAATTGATTCAGGTGGATCTGTATGTATATATTAGTAAGCAGAGCCTACTAGTTTATTTGACCATTATTTCGTTGACCATTTTTCAGTAAGCTAAGGGGAATACACATGAGTTTGTCAGAGAAACCAAGACAGTTTTTATTAGGTATCATTTGCATTTTATTTACAGTTAGTACATTTACATGGTGTGTTACAGATTCTTTTCTCCACATCTACCATTCTGTTGCTTGATGTTAGTTGATTTCTGATTTTTGAAGTCGCAGTAGTATACAGAATATTGGCCTACAGAAATGACAGATGAAATCAGCCATATCGTCTGTCAATTCATAGGTCATCTTCCTGAACACTACCTCTTAGTGATGGCTGAAATCCTCCTCCATTGTTGGGTTCTTTTCGAGCCATAACACTTGACTCAAGGAAATGGTTATTCTTATTTGTCAGTTTTATCATACAGAAAGAGAGATTATCCTGTTTCCACCTTAATCAAATGAGAATTAAGTGACCATGATTTTTTTGTCTGTCTTGGTTTATTATACCCTATGTTGTTAAGTTGGCAAGTTGGTAACCACCAAAAGTAACAGCATCTCCACTGGAAATTGATACACAGTCCACATGGAGTTGCTGTTACAATTGATAGCTCCAGGAAGCATATCAAGACTCCTACCTGAGTCCATAAGTTATCTTAATATAACTTGTTTCAGACGAGAATCTTGATATTTAAATGTTGTGACTAGTGGATTTGAAACTCATGTTTAATTTTGATTTCAGTTGATTTGCACTTAATTTTTGTATTTGTATTAATTTCTGACTCTAACATTATCGAACATTTTTCTAAATCTGTAGTATGAATTTATAATTTAGTTGAAAACCTATTCCTAGTTAATAAAGACAAATACTTTATAAGTACAAAGAAAAAATTAAGAAACATTTGCTACCTAGAAAGGAGTTGTTAAGTTTCTTTCATTTCACATGATTGTAATCAATTTAACAATATTATTGTAATAGTTACTATACATTTCTAGAAAACTCAGCTCTTGATTTCTGGAAATTACAAGAAATTGACTAGGATAGGCAAATGAACTTTAATCAGCTGGAGTATTTGCTTTTGCCACCTCACATTTTTGCTCATGTTAGTAATGAAAAAAAAAATTTTGGTGAAAAAAATTGATACTATTCATTAAAGATAAATTTCTCCAATCATTTCCTTTCATCTTTAAGACATAAGTGAAATGTTACATCAAAAATAAAATTTCCCAATTTCGTTGTGTTCTAAAAGTTACTACTTATGAAACATTTATCATCTTACCTCATTGTTATTCCAGTAACTTGCAGAAGAAAAGATGTCATAGATCCTCAGTACATCTTTTGCTTTTATAAAGTTACAAACACAGGAAATAGTGGGGAGGCAGCAACAGTTTCTTCACTACCTATTCATCTTAATGCTGCTGAATTGCTGTAACACACTAAATAAACCCCAGCCCAGCTGATATCAAAGTTCAGAATGATTGGTTGGCGTTACAGTTGCTCATGCTATAACTAGTGAATATTCACTGATTGGAAGCTAGGAAGGGACACGTGATGCATGTGGTTAGATAAGGTCCTTGCGTAAAGTGCAAAGTTTTATGGCGGACTTATTGCTTTATAAAACACAGCGTTAAAATGGAAGGAGGATATAGATTATGTAGTGATAAGGAGTTTCACCCATTTTTATCAACAGTGATTTATAATGATCTTAAAGTTATTAGTTAACTGTGTGTTTGTGCTAAGAGATTAACAAAGTGGGTGAATTTTTAAATTTCCGAAGATGAATTCTGACTTCTTTGTATTTTTTTCTGAAGGACATTTAGTATCACTAAGAAATGCCTTTAAAATTGTTTCAACACTTCTTAAAGCATGATCTCAGCTTCCTTATAAAAATTACACTTCAAAGTATCTTAAGGAAATAGAAGACTAATATACAAGAATACATATGTAAGGACATCTGATACAGTTGTTTTATGAGGCCCTCACTGTCAGTCAGTTTTGGAAGACTGAATATGCAGCCATTCAAATCTGTGTCCCCACCCCTGCTGGTTGCCAGCTCCCTGCAAGTACTCGCAGCCCACCAGACCTTAGGCTTAGTTAAGCTTTTATCTTTTACATTTTAAAAGACACAGGCTGTTTAATTTGATGTAGTCACAGCTATTTATCTTTGCCTTCACTATCACTGCTTTGGGTGATGTGTCTGTAAAGATGTCTTTGATGTGCATATCATGTAGTGTTTCGCCTATATTTCCTTCTATGTATTTTATGGTTTCAGGTCTTATGTCTAGTTCTTTAATCCAGTTTGAGTTGTTTTTTGTGTATGGTATGAGGTAGTGGTCAAGCTTCATTCTTTTGCATGTAGCGACCCAGTTTTCCCAGCCCAATGCCCAAAAATAGATGACTGGATCAAGAAGATGTGGTACATATACACCATGGAATATTACTCAGCATTCAAAAAAGATAAACACATGCAATTTGCAGCAACATGGATGGCACTGGAAGGGATCATGCTCAGCGAAATAAGCCAGAAAGAAAAAGAAAAATCCCGGATGGTCTCACTCATAGCAGGAATCTAGAAAACTTAAATAAGAGACCAGGAAAAAGAATAACTATAAGAAAGTAAAAATCAAAATCAACAAACAACTATGAACCAGAGACACTCTATGGGGGTTGGGGGGCGGGGAAAGGAGGGATTGGGGTCAAAATAAGGGGGTTGCAATTGTATGGGGAATATAAAAATAAAATTAAAATTAAAAAAAGTAAATAAAAATAAAAAAATAAAAGACACAGGCTGGTAGTCTAGGGAGAGCTACCCACATTGGGCTTTGCAAGATGCTTTGAGCACAGAGAATTCCACAGCACTGAGAATCTTTGGAGCATTTGTGCAGCATTTACGTGTATTTTTTCCAAATTCTTTTTGATTTTTGTTTGCACATTAAATTGGTCTTACCAATTTATGCTTATAAAGTATTGGTCTTACCTGTGAAGCCTGGTAGACCACCTCGAATTTGTAGGTGGTGTGTGTTCACTGCAAATTTTGTTTCTGAAACTCTCTGCCATAGTTTGTTCAGATTATTCAAGCTACCAGAGTACAAGTCAAGAGAAAGTTTTCACTCTTTGATACAAATTCCATGCACTTAAATTGTGATTTGTTTGGATTGAGAAAATGTTTTTGTCTTTGAAATTGGCATTCTTGCAAATTTTCTTTTTCTGCCCTAGCTTCAATTGTCATTTAATTTTCCTGTGTTTTAAATAAAAGTAATATAGTTGTCTAAGACCTCAAATAGCACTCTGGAAAGAACATAAACACTGAAATACATTTAGTAAAGTAAGGAAAGCAAATCTTTAATCCATGAGACTCTCTTTTAATGAGATCAGAGTCTCCTCTCTTTAAACTGTTGCATATTTCATTTAGATCCATTAGAAACAATTTCCTTTTATCCAGATTCATATGCATGTTATGAGAAAAAACATTGGGTCATTTCATTTTTTTGATAATGTATGTAGTTTTATTCATGAAAACTTTTTTAAAATTAGATTTGAAAAAAGGATTATTTTCATTGGTGTTGATAACATAGTGTGGTAATTTCATTTCTAGTAAGTGTAACTTGGTAAATATAAAGAAAAACCAAAATAGTCTTTCCTCCTTGCTGAAATAAGGGACTTTTATGAATTAAAAAATATATTTGTAAGTAAGGTGTATACATATATAAATGCAAGCTTAAACTTCTTTCATTGAACATTGTATTAAGTGAATTACCAATACCTTTATAAGAAAATATAGCAATTAAAATGTCAATTTTAGTTAGATTTGTGGAGTCGTTCACTAATCTCCATGGGATTTAATAGTTGCCTTAACAGACCCACTGCAAAATTGGAATCTTTTCTTGTTGTTTTGTATTTTTATTATGGACTTATTAGTAAGGTAATTGAATATAGTTAAGTAATATTTAAAATACAGTTCTTAAGCTTCATTGAATTGTATGAAATTTAGGGATAGTCAAAAGAACTTCAGTTCTGTTAGGTATTGAATTTGGTATTGTCAAGTAGATAGTAGATATGTAAGTATCACCTATAGCTGTCAAGTTACTGAGTAAAATATTAGGACTTTTTTCTTTTTTTAAGACTAAAATTTTTCATACATCCTTTTTCCTCACAGTGTGTCCCTGTGTTTGTAGAAACTGAAGCTAAGAACTAGTCTAGTGTATCCCTGTCAGTTTTTAATAAATCACAGGTAGACTCTGGTCTTTGGACTTGGTACTTGCTCTGTCAACACTTATTTCCTGAGACTCCCTGGTCCCCTGACTTCATCTCTGGTTCATGGTTTCGTTATAATGGGTAGTAAGAGTGTTTCACCTCTACTTATTATCAGTAAACCCCAGAGATGAGGACTGAGAGTTCACAGGGCAGTGGTTGTCTTTATAGAAGAGTTAGGAAGAATGAATAGAGATGTATAAATAGAATTGAATCGTGATTTAGTGGTGTTGGGGCCTGGCTTTACCTGTGCCACTTGTTTAGGTTCTTGACTGAAGGAACGACGAGGTCCAGGAGCGTTTCTATCAAGACATACTAATGTCCACAGCCTCTGCAGCGTGGGTTCGATTCCCGGCCAGCCAGGGAACTACCCACATGGCGCAGCAGACCTCTCCTGTGCCGCCACTGCTCCTCTCAGCAGTGTGTTCAGTCCATCTGCCTGTTCTGCTCCCCACTCTGTCTCTGGTGAATTCTCTCACTCTTCCACACCTCTGGCCTGTACCCTAGTTCTTGTATAAAAATAAATCTTAATAATAAAAAAAGACCTACTAAAATGTTTTTCTGTGAATTCAGTCAAGAGTGCTTTTAAAGTGCATTGAAAAATATAATGTGTGGTTTCCACACAAATGCTTTTATTTTGATTAATAATAATCCTAACATCTTTATCTGATTTTCTAAATGAATGAAATTTGAACCATCTGCTTTTACTTTTTTTTTATGTTTTTATTTCCAACACATTTGAAACTGTTTTATTGCTTTATTTTACTTTTCACTAAAATTGCAATCTAGTGATCCATTGCAAGAATAAAAAGGTAAAATGACACATTTTAGATAAGCATTCTTTTTGATGAAAATTTCATAACTGGTATGAGTAGCATATCTGGGTAATTGTGTATGTATAAATGTACTTTGCTAGTATCTTTTTAAATTTCTCTTAGAGTAATAACATTAGGTTTATTCAGATTTTTTATTATAGTGTATTCATATTTTCTTGACTGATAAAATGTTCTGTGTAAACTATATAAAACAGTAATATGTAACTAAATATTATCATATAACTAGTTATTGCAGGTTTTATAGTCTCATATCACAAAAAGTTTATCTTGCTGTTAAAGTCCATCTAAAATGTGTAACTATATTGGAAATGTGGAGTTGTGCCCATTTTAACATTCTTTTCATTTCTTTTAGTGTTTGGGTACTAGTAGCATTACACTTTTTGATCTACTTTCCATAGTATACCAACTCTATTTCACATCTCAATTTGTATAGCATGTTTAATTTATAATTCCCATTTGATTTTTGCTTCCCACAACAATTTTTTATAAGTACTTTATTTTACTCATGAATTATCAGACCCAAAGAGGTAAAAAAAAGTTTATCCCATGTTGTTAATATTAATAAGAAGCAGATCCAGATTAAGGACTTAGTTTCTCCATTTTCTGTGAGCTCCTGTGGGTTTACACTTAAGCTTTTTACTGCATTAGTAGTGTGATAGAAAGGAGGATGGTTTAAAAAGTTAGCTCTAGTATGTATATTTTAATCTTTAAATATTACTGTGGACATGCGTTTTGGTAATTTGGTCAGCAAAATTAACTGTCTAAATTGACCCGACTTCAGAAAATCCATACATCATGTTTACATAATACTTATTAATATGTACTAGACATTGCTCGAGGCATTTTATATGTAAACTTGGTTAATATTTCAATCACTCTTAATGGTACTGTGAGGTTTTTACAGACTGAGGTACAGAAATGTTCATTGCTTTGCCAGGTGTCTCATAGCTAGTAAGTGGTGAGTCAGAGATTGTGCCAAAGCTGCGTGGCTCCAAGATCCATGGTCCCTCAGTGGAAGCAACTAGAGGAAATTGTGCTGTCGTAAAACTATGATAATAAATCAAAAGTGTGTTATTCCTGTGAGAATATTTGTGTAAATATTTCTGAGCTTTTCAAATACATGATAACTATTTCTTCCCAAAGGAATCCATTTCAGTATTCATTTGATGTGCATTCATTGGCTTTCTGTTGTGAGGCACTGTGCTAAGTGTTATGTGGACTGTTTTCTTTAGTTTAGTCATTTTGCAGGAGTGCGTAGGGTCACTGAGTGTAAGTTCCACCAAGGCAGGGGCTTTCCCTGCCTTGTCCACTGCTGTAGCTATGGTGTCTGGAGCAGTGTCCAAGACATTGGAGATGCTAATTAAATATTTTTTGGAACAAATGTAGCATTTTTAACAGAGAAGCAACCAAGCTTGGAAGTTGTATGTGACTCCATTATGGTCATGAGTAAACAAGAAGTAGACTTGTGCGTGGTAATATTTATAGAGAGTGGAGAATCAGAATACAGGCCTGGATATGTTACTCTGTGCTCTTGTGTGGCATTGCCTTAAGGATTTGGATTTAGTCCTGTGAGCGGTGAGGGGATGCCAGAAGTGTTTAGGATAATAGAAGCAGTTTTAGGAATGCAGCTCCCAAGGATGTGGCGTGTAAATTAAAGTTCTTTAAAGTAAATTAAAAATGTTCAGTGTTAAAGTAGTTAGTTGAACAATACTGTTTTGTCCCCACAACATAGCCAAACCATTGAGCATATTATCAAACTGGTGGAAGAACACGGCAGTGATGTCTGGTGGACTCTTCCTCCTGAGCAGCTTCTTCCTGAGGCAGTCTTGGCAAAGGTGAGCTCTTATGTGCCTTACATGACTTCACAGCATGAGTAATGGTTTGCAGTTAAAAGGTAGTTACATTGTCTGGTGAGTTTAGTCACCAGAACCCACAGTTGAGAGTAAACACCTTTGTTTTGCTGTAGAAGCTTGGTATTAAATGTGCAGAGGGAGGGGGACGGCTACTGGTTACCTTGATGAGGATCACTGTGGGTTGTAACTCTTTGGTCACTATGAGAGCAGTGTCCAGCACTGGAACTGTAGGGTCTGCAGTAGATCTAACTGGTTGCATCACACATCAAAAAATCCAAATTGGAAGATTAATTTCAAGAAAATCAGATCATAGTTTATAGTTACATTGTTACTGTAGTTACTATAAGTCAGTCAATGGGAAAAGTGTAACTAAGTTGCCAAATCCCTTTTACGTGCAGTTGGGATAATTGTACTTAGTTAAAAATGCTTGATGTTCTGGTGGTGTTTATTGTATATATTGTGAGCCTTGGGTATAAAATGCTTTGACATTGTCTAGGTTGGTGGCCGTGATGCCTTGGAATATGTTCCAGGTCAGGATATTTTGGACATCTGGTTTGACAGTGGGACTTCGTGGGCTCATGTTCTTCCAGGTAATTTTCTTTTTTTTTTTCTTTTTTTTTTTAAATAATAAATTTTATTTTTATATTCCCCCATACAATTGCAAACGCCCCATTCTGACCCCAATCCTTCCCCTCCTGCCCCCCACCCCCCAAAAAGTGTCTCTGGTTCATAGTTTTTTGTTGATTTTGATTTTCACTTTCTTATATTCATTTTCCTGGTCCCTTAAGTTTTCTAGATTCCTGCTATGAGTGAGACCATCCGGTATTTTTCTTTTTCTTTTTGGCTTATTTCGCTGAGCATGATCCCTTCCAGCGCCATCCATGTTGCTGCAAATTGCATGTGTTTATCTTTTTTGAATGCTGAGCAATATTCCATGGTATATATGTACCACATCTTCTTGATCCAGTCATCTATTTTTGGGCATTTGGGTTGTTTCCAAAGCTTAGCTATTGTAAACAGTGCTGCTATAAACATAGGGGTGCAGGTGCTCTTTGGAATTGATGTTTCTGTGTCCTTTGGGTAAATACCTAGGAGTGGAATTGCTGGATCATATGGAAGCTCTATGTTTAGTAGGTCCAGAAATCTCCACACAGCTCTCCATAGTGGTTGGACCAGTTTGCACTCCCACCAACAGTGCAGGAGAGTTCCTTTTTCTCCACACCCTCGCCAACATTTGTTGTTGCTAGTTTTTTTAATATGTGCCATTCTCACTGGTGTGAGATGGTATCTCATGGTAGTTTTGATTTGCATTTCCCTGATTACAAGTGATGTTGAACATTTTTTCATATGTCTGTTGGCCATTTGCATTTCCTCTTCAGAGAAGTTTCTTTTTAGCTCTTCTGCCCATTTTTTGACTGGATTATTTTCTTTGTTGTTGCTGAGTCTCATCAGCTCTTTGCAGATTTTTGTGATCAGTCCTTTATCATTAGAGTTGGGTGCAAAAATGTTCTCCCAGTTGGTGGGGTTTCTCTTTGTTTTTGTTATTGTCTCTTTTGCTGTGCAGAAGCTCTTTAATTTGATGTAGTCCCAGCTGTTTATCTTTGTCTTCACTATCACTGCTTTGGGTGATGTGTCTGTAAAGATGTCTTTGATGTGCAAATCCCGTAGTGTTTCGCCTATATTTCCTTCTATGTATTTTATGGTTTCAGGTCTTATGTCTAGTTCTTTAATCCATTTTGAGTTGATTTTTGTGTATGGTGTGAGGTAGTGGTCAAGCTTCATTCTTTTGCATGTAGCGACCCAGTTTTTCCAGCACCATTTATTGAACAAACTTTCTTTGCTCCAATGCATAGTCTTTGCTCCTTTGTCAAAGATTAGTTGACCATAAATCTGTGGGTTTATTTCTGGATTTTCTATTCGATTCCATTGGTCTGTATGTCTGTTCTTGTGCCAATACCATGCAGTTTTGATGATTATGGCTTTGTAGTAGAGTTTGAAGTCTGGGAGTGTGATGCCTCCATTTCCTTCTTTTTTTTTCAGTAGAGCTTTGGCTATTCGGGGTTTTTGGTGATTCCATATGAATTTCATCAATAATTGTTCTATTTCTTTGAAGAATGCCATTGAGATTTTGATTGGAATAGCATTGAATCTGTATATTGCTTTTGGTAGGATGGCCATTTTAATAATGTTTATTCTTCCAATCCATGAGCAGGGGATGTCTTTCCATTTCTTTGTGTCTTCTTCTATTTCTTTTAACAGTGTTTTATAGTTTTCTTTGTATAGGTCCTTTACCTCTTTTGTTAGATTTATTCCCAAATATTTGATTTTTTTGTTTCAATAATAAAAGGGATGGTTTTTTTGATTTCTTCTTCTTCAGATTTATTGTTTGTGTATAGGAAGGCTACTGACTTTTGCGTGTTGATTTTGTATCCTGCCACTTTACTGAATTAGTTTTTCTGTTCTTCCAGGTAATTTTAAATGATTGTATTGTGATCAGTACCACTCAAGCAGTTCTCAAAATAGATGAATGTTACTTAGAAGAAATCTATTATAGTCAACTCTTTTTTTGTCTTATCTGGAAAACATGCTGCTATAATATAATGTTAGATCTGGAATAGCCCATGGAGATTATTTAATCCAATGATTTCTAAACTTGTTTTCTGAATGAAAATTTTTTTTTAAAGATTGGTTTATTTATGCAAGAACTGGGGTGTAAGCCAGAGTGCAGGGGGTGAGAGGATTCACCAGAGACAGAGTGGAGAGCAGAACAGGCAGATCTACTGAAATACACTGCTAGGGGGAGCAGTGGGCGAGTCAAGAGAGGTCTGCTGTGCCATGGCCGGGATCGAACTCGTGCTGCAGTGGCTGCTGATAGCTTCATAGTGCTGAGACATAACCCCTTGTGCCACCAAGGAGGCTCCTGTTCAAGTTCTTTTGTACTATTGTACTTTGTCTTTCTGTGGCTTTCTACACAGACTGTATCTTGCTACACAGCACACTAAATACATCTAGTGAGGGTAAGTTTTTGACTCACTTGGTAAAGAGAGGAAGGCGAACTGGGCAGAAGTTAGAGGGGAGCAATAAGAGATGGATCAGGCTGTTCCTCACATGGCTATGCAGAGCAGTCTTTGTCTGAGGTCCTGTTTGCGTGCTGGAGCAAAGAAATGTGGGGGCAGCTCTGCCTTGAAGCTAGCCACTGTTAGAGGGCTGAAAGGGACTGTCCTCAAGTTTGACTTGACTTGTCTGTCTTTCTGGAGCAGGGCTCACTGTGGAGAGGACAGAAATGGGATTCCTATTTATATGTAAACATATATTTGCCTCAATTTGGCCTTCCTTCAGCTGAAGATATTTGAAAAGTAAAATGCATACATAAGTTCATGGTGATGCTGTTATAGCTGATGAGTAACTGATAAATTCATAATGGCCAGATTTGGGTTGCATGTTGGTAAAGTATTTTTCTGTAGCAATTTCAGAATTACCATTTTCATAAGTTTCTTCCACTGTATTTAAAAGAAGATATTACCAGTGTAGGCACTTTGTTTTCCTAAATTTTACTGAAAATTTAGGCAAATAGTGCTACATGAGATTAAGGTAAGGTTAAGAAAGGTTAGCTGCTGCTCTCACCTTGGGCAGCAACCTCAGTTTCAGAAACGTGCTCGCCGTATGTGAAACTGTACTTGTAAGGTACATTTGCCAGTTCGTTCATTGGTTTGGCCTTGGTGAGAATTGCTGTTCCTAGCAATTCAGACTTTTTAGAGGCTGAAGTGGTTTTACATTAGCAAATGCAGTTAGTGTGCACGGTAGACCTGGAGCCATTGCCTGGGTTAAACTGCCTAAAAAAAAGCTGCCATTAAACCTCACTGTGTAATGATAGGTGCCTGTCTTACCGTTTTTTAATTGTGACGCTCTTAACCAGTCATGAAGCATTTCTTTTTCTTTCCTGTTGTACTCAGGCAATGCAAAGGGAAAAAACATTAATTGCCACTTAAAGATATGTTGCCCGCATAGGCTACCAGAATATGAGCTCCTTCATGGATAATACAACAACCAAACTTTACTTTTTTTTTTTTTAATTATTTATTTATTTATACAAGCACTGGGTACAGTCAGAAGCACGGGAGGGTGAGAGAATTCACCAGAGCCAGAGCGGGGAGCAGAACAGGCAGAAGGACCGAAGTACACTGCTGAGGGGAGCAGCGGGCACGGCAGGAGAGGTCTGTGCGCCATGTGGGACCCTAGCCAGTGGCCGGGTATCGAACCGGCGCTGCAGAGGCTGCGGGCAGCTTTGCAATCCAGTGCTCAACCGCTGCGCCACCGGGGAGGCCCTTTATAGCTCCTACCTATTCTCTCAGATCTCATTTTGTCTCCAAAAAATGTATATAAATTATAAATTAACAAATCTTGTGAGAGCGGTCAGTAAGAAAGAGGTTTTTAATTGACCTATATTCTATATCGCCTCCTTATTTTTGTAAAAAAAAAATTTTTTAAAGATAGAATGAAGTGGGGAAGATGATATAAGATACTGAGTGAATTCATAGTTTGAGAAGCCATAAACCAAAGGTAAATTTCTTCTTTAAAAACAAAAGACCTCCCCTACTTTCCTTGAAGGCTCATTGTACTTTTCAGTGGTTTGTATCACATCTCATTGAGGTGCTTTGAGATCTCCATATTTCCTGGAGAGAGTACATTGTTGCAAAATAAAACTGATTTTGAGCTTAATTCTTCATTGAGATCTACTAATATTTAACATACATAACTGGTTTCACTTTTCACTGTCAGCATTTATAGCAGAAAGATTTGACTTACGAATTTTGATATCAGGTTCAGTGCCTGTTTCATTATGAATTCAAGGTCAAGAGAACTTAAGAAATTGAAACTCAGTCTTTCTAGAAGACACTGACATTTTAAACGTCTTTCATGGATGGGTAATGTCATACCATATTTCTAAAACATTCTTTAAACTGTTACCATTGTTTATAAAAATTAATAAATAATATATATTTTTTTAGAACAGTTTTAGGTTCATAGCAAAGCTCAGTGGATAGTGGAGTTCCCATCCCCCTAAGCCTCCTCTGCCATAGTGGCCCCACTGTCAACATCCTGTGCCAGAGGGGCCCATTGGTTATAGTTGCACTGGCATTGACAGATCATTATTGACAGGAGTTCATGGTTGACATGGAGTTAATTCTTGGCTTTGTTCATTCCTGTGGATTTTGACAAATGTGTAATGATGTATCCATCATTGTCATCCCACACAGTTTTACTCTTTTAATCTTCTTTCCCCCTTTTCAGCCCTACTTCCTGCTAGCCCTGAACAACACTGATTTTTCACAAACTCTATCTATACTTTGCCCTTTTCCCGAAAGTCTTGTTGGAGTCATCCAATGTGTTCCCTTCTCAGATGTCTCAAGTATTGAGAGTTCCTCTGTGCCTTTTCCTGACTTGATAGCTTTTTTATTTTCTCTGTGCTGAATGGTCTGTTGTCTGGGGATGCCACAGTGTACTCATCCATTCACCTACTCAACTAGTGAGTAATTAAAAACACTTCATTTCTTTTTTTTTTTTTTAATAGAGGCATGTTTTTCTTTATTTATTTGTTTGCTTGTTTGTTTGTTTTGTTTATACATGCACTGGTACAGTCAGAACGCGGGAGGGTGAGAGAATTCACCAGAGCCAGCGGGGAGCAGAGCAGGCAGAAGGACCGAAGTACACTGCTGGGAGCAGCGGCGGCAGGAGAGGTCTGCGCGCCATGTGGACCCTCCTCGGTGGCCGGGAGCAGCCGGGGATTGACCGGCGCCGCAGAGGCCGCGGGCAGCTTGCAACCCAGTGCTCTACCGCTGCGCCACGGGGAGGCCCAACACTTCATTTCTTTTTTAAAATGAGAAATAGTTTAACTAGAGGTGATCATTGTTTTAAATAGAAACTTAAGTTTATAACTTAGATTTACGAGTAACTTTAAAAGTTTGCCATCTTAATACATACACAATACTGCTTTAAAATAGCCTAATTTCCCTGGTGGCGCAGCAGTTGAGTGCTGGGTTGCGAAGCTGCCCGCAGCCTCTGCAGTGCTGGTTCGATCCCTAGCTGCTCCCCGGCCTCCGGAGGAGGGTCCCACATGGCGCGCAGACCTCTCCTGCCGCCTGCTGCTCCCCTCAGCAGTGTACTTCGGTCGTTCTGCCTGCTCTGCTCCTCACTCTGGCTCTGGTGAATTCTCTCACCCTCCCGGCTTCTGACTGTACCCAGTGCTTGTATAAATAAATAAAAAAAATCTTTAAAAAAAATATATAGCCTAATTTCAAAAATAATTGTATTTTAGAAATTTAGTAAATATTTTGGTTTAAATTGTTTTTGTTACTTAGCATTAGGCACAAAAAAAGTTTGAGGTAGTTTTCAATCCTTTGGGCAGTGATAGGAATCTTTCCTGGAGAAATATTCAGATGGGGGAGGAGGATGTGACACAGAGCCCCAGTTTCTACCAGTAGAAATAGGACCGAAAGGGGGGGGCACACGCTCACATGGGCAGAGATGGGTAGCCATTGAGTTGGTTCTTGGAAAAATATCCGTGGGCGTGGGAAGTTTCGTGGAGGGGAATGTGAAATTTTAAAAAGTAGAGAGTACCAAAAAGCAGGATGCAGTAAAAGTCTTGCTTTGCTAGCAAACACCAGTAAATGTTGTCTCCATAGATAAAATACTAGAAGAAATATGTTGAAATTAAGTGACTGTCTTGGGCCTCCCTGGTGGCGTAAGGGGTTAGGCACTGCACTGTGAAGCAATCTGCAGCTTCGATCCCCGCCAGCCAGGGAGAAACCCACATGGTGCGGCAGACCTCTCCTGACTTGCCCGCTGCCCCCCTCAGCAGTGTTTTTCAGTCAGTCTGCCTATTCTGCTCCCTCTCTGTCTCTGGTGAATCCTCTCACCCTCCGCATCTCTGGCCTGTACCCCAGTTCTTGTATAAATAAATAAATAAATCTTTAAAAAAAAAAATAAAGTGACTGTCTCTAGGCACTGGACTGATTTTCTTGAACTTCTCACCATTTTACAAATTTTCCTAAAGTTATTTTGTTAGGAAAAAATAAGCATTGCTAATACACATTTGTTAGAACAGGAAATAGTCCCAATAATTATATGAGATTTTATAGTAATTGTACAGTGTGCCATTCCTTGAATTTGACTGTGCTTTGTATTTCTTCACTGTCCAAGACTAAATTTCTCATCTTCACTTTGAAAGTTCTACAAACATTACTTTTCTCATTTTCTGTCCGGAGGTTTACTATCATAAAACTACCCCCTTCCTGTCTCCACTGATTTCACACACCATCTTGAAAGACTCTTGCTTTTAGAAATTTTCGGGGTGCTACTCTTCTTTTACCAAGTTAAAAGAAGTCAGTATATTTCAAACAGGGAAAAGATACTGAGACTTACTCTTAAAATGAATTAGTTGTTTGCGTTTTGCCATTTGGGTTTTTTTTGTATGTAATAAATTTTTTTTAATGTTGTGCTATTATTGAAATGGGCTGATGTCCTCTCATTTTATTCAGATGATAATGTGTATATGTTCTAGGACAGGATCATAGACATTTATTTTTAAAATAGCTTAAGGATAATGAATGATAATTTTTACAAATACTCTTTTTTGCAAATATTCTTTCATAGAAAAACTGTTGGAAAAAAAAATACCAGGAAGAGTTACATAATTCTCCATCAGGAGATATCAGAGTGCCCTTTATGATATATCTTAATAATAATTAACATTTACTGAATGTTTATTATGTCTTAAGCATTGTCCTAAGCGTGTTATACTACTCCTCTAATCTCGACAAAAACCTGGCAAGTAAATTTTAGTGTTTTTCTCATTTAGTGAAGAGGAAATGGAAGCGTGAAAGGTCAGGCTGGGGCCCCAGCCCTGTGAGCTGCTACAGGCTCTGGACCCAGGCAGCTTCAGATGCTTTCATCCTGAGCACTAGAAATCCTGAGGCAGCAGGTTTTCTTTAAATTAAAAAAATTAGAGCTGGCACAGATTTGAGATGATTTAAAACCCTTGCATTTTAGACTTTTTTGTCAAGACTTGGAAGCAAGGGTTTTTCCAGGATGTCAGAACTTCAGTCTGATTCATGGTTGTGGACTGTCAGTGCTCATACACTAGGCCAGAAATAGGCATTTTTCAATGCAGTGAAAAGGGATTAGGGATCCTTTTCTGCTGTATTTCCTTATGTTGGAAAGGATTTCAACCTGTATTCTGTCATTAATTAGCTCTTTGATTATAGCTGCATCAAAAAACTGGTTATCAGAAGTGCACATTTGGATGGGATGGAATCCCATCCAGTCCCTAGCTCCCACCTCTTGCTTTAGCTCCTGACCTGTGCTTTTTTTTTTTTTTCAATTGGGTCATTGTCAAATAGAAGTTCATTTGCTCTTTCGATTTTCTTTTTTTTTTTTTTCATAATTAATTTCCTTGTTGTGCATGATCTCTGATGCCAAATTGTCAAGGTTCAGAATCTGTTTAACTGTATACTCTCTACATGAGCTGGGGCAAGTTAGAAACTGTCTTCACTTTCGTCATCTGTAAAATTGGGATCATAAAAATACAATGAAAGTCAAATGAATTAACATGAAATTATTTGCTGCTCAGCAAATTTTCCTTGAAATTGCATAAAGGATTTCCCTGGAATACTGATAACTATGAACTAGTTCCTAATTTATTTTTATTTATTTTTTTTAATAGTTTTTTTTTTTTTATAGAGGCATGTTTTATTTATTTATTTGTTTGTTTGTTTGTTTGTTTTGTTATACATGCCCTGGGTACAGTCAGAAGCGCGGGAGGGTGAGAGAATTCACCAGAGCCAGAGCGAGGAGCAGAGCAGGTAGAAGGACCGAAGTACACTGCTGAGGGGAGCAGCGGTGGCAGGAGAGGTCTGCGTACCATGTGCCACCCTCCTCTGGTGGCCGGGGAGCAGCCGGGGATCGAACCGCCCCGCAGAGGCCGCGGTCAGCTTCGCAACCCAGCGCTCAACCGCTGCGCCACCGGGGAGGCCCTAGTTCCTAATTTAGATAGTGTTTTAGTTACCTGTGGTTTGGGAGACTATACACCAAGTTTATTCTCTTTATCTAGATGAAAAAATTGGCAGTGAGGATAACTGCTTGTGTGAATACTGTCTAGGCATTGGGCATCACATGATGCAATTAATGTGATGACATGTGCTACTATAACTCACATTTCTTTTTTTCTTTTTAGGTTCTGAACAAAGAGCAGATTTGTATATGGAAGGAAAAGACCAGCTGGGGGGTTGGTTTCAGTCTTCCTTGTTAACAAGTGTGGCTGCAAGGAAACAAGCACCTTTTAAGTAAGTCTCTCCCTCAGCGAAGCCAGTACACAGAGCTGCTGCCTCTTGGCCAATCGCTACGTGAGGCCTCATGCTGAGTGACACACACGATGGAACACTGCCCTTACTAGCTTGCACGCCCCCGTGTCCTGAGAAAAATGAGGTTGAAGTAAAAAAGGCGATGGCGTTACAGAAGTCTCATCACTGTGATACAGGTCATCACTCCCAGAAGAGAGGGCCTCGGCAGGGAGGATGCTGGGAAACCTGGGGAAAGGAAGTCCTGAGCTTGGGGATGGAAAAAGGGATACTCTGGGGAGGTGAAGAGCTGAGTTCCACAGCCTTACCTGTGCAGTGCCCACAAGCGGCTAAGGAAGGGAAACATTCCTTTATGAATTCTAGTAATTCTAGGAAGATTCTTCCATAACTTGAGATTTCTGCTATCTTAGAGTAGCCCACTCGAGTCTTTACATGTTTGTTTTTTGTATCACTTGTTTTAAAAACCATGGAGCAGCACATATTTCTCTCAGGTTGTCTATTTCAGGATAATTTCAAGGGATAACTGTCCTTTTTAAGACATACTTTTTCCTTGTTAGTTTTAATGATCAAGACCAGTGATAATATTCAGGAAATTTTCCATTGGCTGTAATCATATAAAATATTCCTTTGTTTGATTAGAGGTGGAATTATTTGACAATTATGATAAATAAGCTGTTGAGAAATGACTTCCTTGTAAAAAAATCTTTCCTACAAAATATGTCAAGAAAAATCTTTTCACTCTTATTTATATGTCAAACTCAGATACTCATTTTAAGCTGTTACATCATCTGGTTGTCATCTTAGGACTGTGGTGGTTCATGGATTCACCCTAGGAGAAAAGGGGGAGAAGATGTCCAAGTCTCTCGGCAATGTCATTGACCCTGACGTCGTCATCAATGGGGGAAAAGTAGGTGGTTGCCTGAAGGTTTTTTTTTTAAAGCTCTTAAGTTGGTGACCAAAACTCTTCATTATAGCTACTCACTGTAAAAAAAAAAAAAAAGAAAAAAAAAACAAAACCCAAAAGTCATCCTCCATACTAATAGTGGCAGCCTTGTTAGATCTTTAGATCTGGATTCTTAAATAACACATGATTTTAATGAAGGGAGGTGCTGGACTTGGCTCTTTTTGCTCATTTCAAGTCTGAATCACAGATCCTGACCCATTGTATCCTTTTTTTAATTGTTTGAGCTTTTAAATATGTAAGCTCTAGTTGTATGCTTAAATGGAAATAATTGCAACTTCTAGATGCATGTGTTATTATTACATTCTTGGAGTGTAAACTCTTTAATACACTTAAAAATAAGTTGTTAATGAATATCAAATCTGGGGTGCTGATATCTTGGTTTGTATCAGATGTGCTTTGGAAAAGAAAGCTTATATCTGTTATTTTTACTCCTTTGGCTTTTTATTGTCCTCATGCCCAGTAATGGTTTTTCTGTGATTGCTGCGAGGGCGCTGTGAGAGGGAAGGTGGAGCTCTAAGCACCACTGTCGCAGGCATGTGCAGACAGGGTGAGGGCCAGACGTGCTGGTGTCTGGCTGTCAACAGGGCTGGAGAGCGGACTCTTCTGTGTTCCCGTCACACTTCACAAGCAGCCTGACTTCTGGGGTTGTTAGCTCTTATTCATTACAGTGCAGATAATTTTTTTTTAAAGATTTATTTATTTATACAGGAACTGGGGGACAGGTCAGAGGCGTGGGAGGGTGAGAGAATTAACCAGAGAGAGCGGGCAGCAGAACAGGCAGATGAATGAAGCCACTGCTGAGGGGAGCAGCAGGCGAGACAGGAGAGGTCTGCCACACCATGTGGGTATCTCCTTGGCCGGCCTGGAATCGAACCCGTGCTGCAGAGGCTGCAGATAGCTTCACAGTGCAGCGCTCAACCCACTGCACCACCAGGGAGGCCTTATGTGCAGATAGATTTTATGCTCATATTGTGCTCAAACATTTCTGGAAGGAAACATACCTAAAATACTGGTTTTCCTAATTGAGTGAAAGTCATTTGTTTCTTTTTTTCCCTCAATGAAAAGGACCAAACCAAAGAGCCTCCCTATGGAGCCGATGTCCTTCGCTGGTGGGTGGCTGAGTCCAACGTCTTCACTGAGGTGGCCATTGGCCCGTCTGCACTTACTGCTGCCAGAGATGATATTAGCAAGGTCGGAGTCATTACTTGTACCTCTAAATACAAACGTTTACTCAGTCATTATTAAAATAAATGAGACATGTTTGCAGCTTGGCACTGTAACACTGAGTGAGCTGTCCATATGTTGTTGTGTTTGAAAATATCCTGTTTATTTGCTTAAAAATACTAGTATACTAATTCATATAAAAATAGCATAATATGTACTCAATGACCTTTAATGTTTATTCCATTTATCTTCATTTTCACCTATACATTTTTACTCTGAGGTAAATAAACTGGGCCACTGAAAGGTACTTAAAGTTATAAAAAAATAATGAAAATTCAGCCTTTATGTGTAATGTCCAGGGGTGGTTTCTTTCAAAGTGGGCTGTTGAAATGAGTTTTCTGTTTTTGCATTTTTAGTCTTATTTAGGACTGATATAATTTGAAAAGTATCCCATTAAGAAAGTAATTTATTGAATAAAAATTAAGAGAATTAAGAAAGCTCATGGGTAGGAATTGAAAGCCTCTTTTTTTTTTTTTTTTTTTTGACTGCTCATGTTTTTCTCAATATCAATAGCTTAGGAATACACTGCGCTTCCTTTTGGGAAATGTGGCTGGTTTTAACCCAGAGACAGATTCTATCCCAGTTGGTGACATGTATGTCGTCGACCAGTACATGCTGCACTTGCTGCAGGATTTGGCAAACAAGGTAAGTGTGAATCAGTAACCTTGTGGAAAATAGAAAGACTAGCACTGTTTGTTGTACGTTGAAAGCTATGTTGCCTGAGGAGAAAAACCTGACTAGACATTGTAGCTACAGCTTTGAGAAAAGTTACACTTGACAAATGCCACACATCCCTATGTCACTCGGGTATAAAGTCTGATGATTTTCTTTTAGTCTTGAGAGACTAGAGAAGTGCTGGTGGGAACAGTAGGCCCAGGCTGCCTCTCCTTTGGCATTTCTCTCAGGGTGAACTCTGTACTCTGACAGAAGGAGCTGTGTTTGTTTACCTGCAGAGGTACTCCTCAAGGTGCAGAATGAAATGACTGCACCTGTGTGACTTGGAAGATAATTTGTGTTTTCTCAAAAAGTGGAAGTGCGGCTGCTTCCTTGTACTCTGAAGTTAGGGGGATGCAGATGTTTGCCCAATTCTACTTTCCAGGCATGAGTGAGGGAATATTGCCCCCACACTTGATTCTCAGTGGTGTGGCTTCATCATTTAGATGCTGTCTTTCTCCTGGATGAGTGGGTTTTTGTGTGTGTGGTGTGGTTTCCAGGACACTAGTCAGTATCTTCTGAGGGTGGTCAAACTTGATATCCAGAAATGACACATAGAAAACCTTTAACAGCTCTTGCACCTTGTTTTGTATTTTTCCAGATTTACACATATTTGAAAAGGAACATGTGTTACTTATGATGACTTGCTTTTTCATTTCTTATCCCAGCTTCCAAATGTTTTTGGCTTTGTCTCCTAGATTAACGATTCATACAAGCAATATGATTTTGGAAAAGTTGTTCGACTGTTGAGAGCATTTTATACCAGAGAACTCTCTAACTTTATTTCAGCATAATCAAAGATCGGTATGTACGACTTGAGTGTTTAAAGGCTCAACAAATATTTCTTGTCTACTTCCTTGTGGCTGCTGAGACACAGTGGCTAGTGGGGCAGGCAGCAAGGCTCACGGATCTGGAAGCTGGGCTTCCCCACTGAACAGGAATCTGCCCGCCACTCACCAGCTTTGTGATTTGGGGCATCTTATCCTGTTCTCACAGCTGCTTTAGCTGTACATTGGTGTTGCTAATACTCTTATGTGATGAAAATGAAAACAGATTATGTTCTTAATGCCATTTGATAAAGTAAGTGCTCAGTAAAAGCTGCTAATACGAGAACAGTGTGTATTTGCAAATCTTGGGAGGCTGGTGGGAGCGTATACAGACAATTACTGCTGTTATAACACTGTGGTGACAGTAGTGTTCTTTCAGAGGAAACTTGGAGTTGACTTTGTGTTGTAAATGGAGATGGTGCTGTCTTTAGAATAACTGCGCCAGTAAGCAGTGCCAGCCCCAAGTCACTTCCTGTAAGAACTGCAACCGCCCAGCTCCCTTTTACAGCAATTGGACAAGTGGCGTGTTAAATGCCATCAACCTGCTGGTTAGTTGTACTGTGACAGTCCTCAAGACTGGCTGCCCTCTAGCTGAAAAACAGATCAGACAATGTACAGCAACTGAGTTTTTGAGGACACTGGCACACCTGGGAGGAATGAAGTTGAATGGAGGAACTTATCAAAAAACTGTGATAGACTCCCCGGTGCGCAGGGTTGACGCTGCGAAGCTGCGCGCGGCCTCTGCGGCGCCGGTTCGATCCCCGGCTGCTTCCCGGCCACGGAGAGGGTCACATGGCGCGCAGACCTCTCTGCCGCCCGCTGCTCCCCTCAGCAGTGTACTCGGTCTTCTGCCTGCTCTGCTCCCCGCTCTGGCTCTGGGAGATTCTCTCGCCCTCCCGCAATTCTGACTGTACCCAGTGCATGTATAACAACAAAGAACCAGCAAACAAATAAAAAAGCACGCCTCTATAAAAAAAACAAACAAAAAAAAAACTGTGATAGACTATTTTGCTTTCGATTAAAAGATGACTAGAGCCATAGTCATAGATTAGCCATAGCCAGACTGGCAGGGGTGGCACATAAGGAGTTGTCAACTTCTGAATTGGTTTTTCTTAATAGGCTTTACTGTGAAAATGCAGATGAGCCCAAGCGACGCTCTTGTCAGACTGTGCTAGCTGAGATTTTGGATGTAATCGTTCGTTCTTTTGCTCCCATTCTTCCTCACCTGGCCGAAGAGGTGTTCCAGCACATACCTTATGTCAAAGGTAAGGGATACTTGATTTGTTCTCTAAATGAAAAGATTTCTGATGAGGATACAACTTCCAGTTTCATCCACTTCATATCAGGGGTCCTTACTTGTCCACAGTGAATGCTGTGTGGCCTGGTGTGTTGTGGCCATTTGGTACTTTCTGCCCCTGATAGCAGAGTGTGATGAATTTCAGAATGGCCTTTGGGCCACCTTGCAGTGCTTTCTGAAATGTGGCCTCGTAGCAGCTTGACTGCATTTAGAAGTCACTGTTTCTTAAATACTTGTATAGTTTAGGTCTCATTAAAACATAGTGCCTTTTTAAAAAGTAATTTTATTAATAGTTTACTCTGATTGTATTAAAATTACAGAAAATCAAAACTACAGATGTTTAAAAAAACTCTTCATCTTTCTATCTAGAGGCTACTGCTGTCGCTATTGGGAGGCTTCTTTATTGTACTTTCTTTGAGGTATCCTTTTCTCTTTGAGATCTCACTCTGTAGTTTATTCTGCTTAAATGTAACATAATTATTTCCCAGTGCTGATGGCACTTAGGACTGGCCCCATGATCTTTTGTCACATGATTACCATAAATAACACTTCTAACTTCCCACAGATAGAAAATATTTGGTGGTTGCTGGTTTATGTACAGACTAGAATCCATGTCAGTGAGTTTACTTTTTTCCTTTTCAAAAGAGCCCAAGAGTGTGTTCCGTACTGGGTGGATCCGCACCAGCTCCATCTGGAAGAAGCCGGGCTTGGAGGAAGCGATGGAGAGCGCGTGTGCAATGCGAGACTCCTTCCTCGGAAGCATCCCTGGCAAGAATGCAGCTGAGTACGAGGTTATCATTGTTATAGAGCCTGGGCTGCTTTTTGAGATAATAGAGGTGAGCAGTAGTTGGTGACTTTTGAAAGGGTGTTAGTATTAGACAACTTCTCCTGAAATTGTTTTTTAAAATCCTTGCATAAGATTTTTTTTCAATTTAGAAATTAGTATTTCTGTCTCCTGATACTACCACTGATTCTGTGCTCCTTCCCTTTCTAAAGAAACACATTCTCTGGGGCGATTTATAAGCCAGGACCAGGAAGGTATAATAAAGTTGTAATAGCAGTGCAAGCCCTCAGGACCATTTAGACTAAAGATGACATACAAACCCATGGCAGTAATATCAGAATACACAAGAAGGGGGAGTTTTGTGCTAAGGAACTGACTTTCGGAGAATTTTATCAATCTAGACCAGATTCAGAACAAATCCCAAGGATTTCGTCCATCTTTTTCTCATGAGATGTGGAGAAATTTCATTTGCTCCAGCAAGTTAGCTTTTCATCTCAAAGCATCATCCTACTTTATTTCAAAAGGGCCATCGGAATTTCTTCTTGGAATTCTTAGCAGTTGATCAGATTGGCTTATCACTTAACATTTGACTCAAGAATTTTCTCGTTTTACAGCTTTAGAAGAAAATTGGCAATACATATTTATAAGCTTTACTAGTACCAAAATTTTCTAAAAAAGGATTTTTGCATCTGATTGGTAAGAGTTGAGACTTGAAATAGCTAGTAGGTATAAGGTTATAGATCTGCTAACAGGGAACTGACATTATAGTCACATTTCAGAATATCCAAGTTGGGAAGTTCTGGCCTTTTCATTCTGTGAGTGAAATAAAGACCATTGAAAGTAGGACCTGGTGGAGGCCTGTTTCCCTACATGTCATGTTCCTTTGACTTCATATTTCCAAGTAATAAAATGAAAAAAATACAGCTCGTTTGCATCATTCATATTAAGAAATACTTTGAGATGTAAAAAAAAATGAATATATTTTCTCTAAATATATTTTATACAAAGTAGCTGTATAGGAGTTGGTCAAAACCAAATTAATCTTTTTAAAATCTCCAGTTTCTCATGAGCTGCTTTTAAGGACTTGAAAAATATGAAAGTGTTAGTAGCAAACACCCAAATCAGTGTGCTTGAGGGTTCTGTGCCTTGTGCAGATTCAACCACCAGTCTATTTGTCCAGATAGTATCTCAAGGCCTCTCTAGTGCAGTAAGCAGGAGATGGACAACTGTGGGCTTTAGGCGGGCTGACCTGGGTTGGATTACAGCTCCACCACCTGTTGGTGAGAAACCTGGGCAGCTTCATCTCCCTGGACCTATTTCTAGGTTAAATGTGGATAATTAACGGTGTGTTGTGTTGAGAAATAATGAAAACTTAGCATTTAGCAAAGTGGATGTAACTGGCACAGAGCATACTCATAGTAATTACTGTTGGACATTTTCACTTAAAACCTTTTGTAGTAAGAATTGATGTATTTAATAGTATTGGCCCAGGAGCTGCTGGTACCAAAGCATTCCTTGCTAAACACAAGAATTCACAGTGTCTATTTCTATAACCCTGGTTTATGGTAGTTCAGTGGGTAACTTTCACTGCTTGCTCCCAGATGCTGCAAGCTGAGGAGACTTCTAGCACCTCTCAGTTGAATGAACTGATGATGGCTTCCCAGACAACACTGCTCTCTCAGGAACCACGAGCACTGCCTGCAGATGTAATTGAGCTTAAAGGGACATTCCTAATCAACTTAGAAGGTGAGGTGGGGAGAGTCGGTGTTCCCTGGAGAATGTGTGATAATTACAGGTCCTCTCCAACTTTCCAGTGGACTTTGTTCTAAAGGCTGCTGTTCACTTGACATCTATGGAGGCAGGGACCACCTTTCTAAAGCAGCTCTCTGGAGTCCCACCTGATAATCTTGGGAACGAGGGGCAAGGGTAGAAGAGATTTTCCTTCTTGTCCCGGGACTGAGTATCACTGTATTTGAAGTTTGTGGCCTCACTCCTATTTGGCTCCTCTGGTTGGTGGTGCGCTAGTCCTGCCCAGCCCTGCTGCTCTTCCACATTGATTCTAAAATACACTGTGCACACCCCATTTTTAATGAGTGGTTACTGATTTTTTTTTTTTTTTGGTGGGACACTCGCCGGTGGCCGGGGATCAAACTGGCGCTGCAGAGGCTGTGGGCAGCCTCACAACCCAGCGCTCAACCGCTGTGCCACCAGGGGAGGAGGCCCGGTTACTGACTTTTAATTGAACTCTTTCTCTCAGTGTTACCTCAAAGCAACGTTCTGTAGCTGGTTGATAGGGTATTTTTCTCAAACTAATTCATTTCTTATGGAGCAAATGAAGGGCAGAGTGATGTTAACAGAAGTAACATGCAGATAGTCTGGGGAAAGTGATGCTGCCTGTGTTTTTCAAAATAGCTCTAGGTACCAGCAGGTGGTAGGAGGTGAATTTAGAGGCATCACTTTAAATCAGAGGCCTGGCAGCAATGACTGGCCTAGTTTCTAGCTTACCTTGCTTTTCAAAATGTTAAAATGCCTTCTTTGTGCAATGACTTAGACATCAGACTGATAACATAGTAATGAGGGCAAATTATTTTCTAAGTGCCTTAAAGTGAAATTTTGTTTCCTTTTGTCCAAATCAAGCTTTAAGTGGGGACGTTGTGTTGTCACTATAATTTGATTTTTTTTAAATTGGTAATTAAATAATTTATCAGAACTCTGCCTAGATTGAACTAAAGGCGTGCTTTGCCCAAGTACAAACAGAACTCAGTGACTTTGAGAATAACCAGTTCATGTCTCAGGCTGAGATTCCCCAATTCTCTCCAGTAATCAGGCTGTGCAGTCCACTGTCCTGGCCATTGTTATAACGTGAGAGAAGCTGTGTCCCACAGCCTCTCCTGGGCAGGGAGGAGTGAACTTTGAAGAAGGAGCTCCTGCAAATCTAGTTAAGGACTAAGAGCCAGACAGATGAGTGGCCTGTCAAAAACACTCTTTTTCTGGATTCTTTCCTCACAGGTGGTGACATTCGTGAAGAGTCCTCATATAAAGTGATTGTCATGCCAACAACCAAAGAAAAGTGCCCTCGTTGTTGGAAGTATACAGCCCAGTCTTCAGATACACTCTGTCCCCGGTGCGCAGAGGTTGTTGGAAAGTAGCAGCTTACTGGTGCGACAGCTCTCTGCAAGACCCCACCCCACCGTGCTGACTAGGAGTTCAGAATGGACTGTGCACAATACTGGGAAGAAAGCCAAGATTCAGGTGATGAAGGTCAGAATCAGAACAGTGTTTCCTGTAACTAGATAAAATGTATATACATGCAGAAAAAGATGCAGATGGATGCCATGAGCTAATACAATGAGCATGCTTGCCTTCAAATATGGCTGAGCAGAAATGTTTTATATTTTACGAATTTTTGACTCAGTATTTAAGTTCTATAATGTTTATAATGTTTAAAAATAAAGGCTTTCTGGAAAAATACTGACTGATGTTGGTACAATCAAGTAAAGAAATGTGGTTTTGAAGGAGAATGGAATAGATACCGTTCCCTTTAGGGATGAAGATTAATTTCCTTTTGTCTTAATAGAAACATCAACCCTTTCAGGATAAGTTAGGTGTGATTGTTTTTGCCTAAGAAGAAAAACAAGTTTGTTACTCTTTTATACAAGAGAGGAAAGAAATCTGCATACATACGTGAATGTTCAGAAGACAACAAGAAAACTGGAAATTTATTGACTGATATACAGAAGCTCATGACAATGAACATAGAATAGCATATACAGGATTTTACAGCATTAATAGAGCATCTTATGAACAGTTCCGTGTTGGATTACAGTCTTTCTAGGGGTGGCTAATCCTACTCAGTAGAAATCTAAATTGCAGAAGCCCAGAGCCCTACCCTGCAGGGAGAGGCCTCACTGCTGCTCATGAGCACTGCTCATCTCC